GCTTTAAAATTCCAATAAAAAGAAGAAAGACAAAACAGTATTGGCAAAATGAATTGTTGAAACTAAATGATGAGTATGTTGGGAACTTTCCTACATTTTTTTTCTTATTTTACAGGATATTTATATTCTAAGTTCATTAATACATACTGAAGATGGGTGAAAATAGCCATTAAGTTATCAAGTTACGGAGCTGTGTCAGTCTGCTCGGGCTGCGATAGCAACACACCACAGACCAGGAGGCTGACATGGTGGAAGTTTATTTCTCACAGTTCTGGAGGCTGGAAGACGGAGATCAGGTGGCCGGTTCTGACAAGGACCCACCTCCCGGCTTGCAGATGGTGCCTTCGCACTGTGTGCTCACGTGGGGAAGGGAGAGAGCGCGCTGGTGTCTCTTCCTTTTATAAGGGCTCTAATCCCATGACGGGGCCCCACCGGACAACCTCATCTCACCTCATCACCTCCCAGAGGCCCCACCTCCAAACGGCACCACACTGGGGTTAGGGTTTCAACAGAGGATTCGGGAGGGGGGATACAATTCAGTTTATAGCAGAAGCTTCTCTGGGTCAGTCCTGCCCACAGCCCAGCTGGGGAAGGGCCTTGCTCCTTCAGGGTGGCCCCATCATGGCCAATGAGGCCTTAAGGGCGCGGGGCCCATGGCCCTCTGGAATAAATAGAAATGTGCCCTTTGGAACATCCAAGTGGCTTTTCTTATTTATAAAATCCAAACTTTTGTGCCAGTGCTTTTATTTTTCTTCCAGCTCAGAGCTGTGAGCAGGGAAGTGCCTGGTTTCTTCCCACCCCACGTGTGGAGTGTGGAGGCCTTCAGATGGCCTTTGAGTGCGAGTTGGGATGGCCTGTCTTGGGTCTTTGGGCAATAAACGCTACAAAGACTCGAGCCTTGTCCTGCAGGCCAGCTGGCCATGCGTCCAGGTCACCTGTTTCTGGTTTTTACTCCTTCATGATGCTTTCACCTCGAGATGCCACTGTGTGGAATTAAGTGTGAACAACACAAAACTGTGCAGTTAACTACATTCCATCTGATGATGATTATCGAGTGATACCAGTGGGTCACCCTGGCGCTTAGTGGCTGCTGAACAGGGGGCACATCTGGCTGGTTTGTCCCAGGCTGCAGTTTCCTCTGTGCCCGGCTGGGCAGGCCCTGGTGGCGAACCCTTTGAGGGAGTGGCAGCGGGCAGACGGCAGGGACACAGCTGCCTCCTTGTGTCCTTGTGCGTGGCTCCCTGAGAACCCTCTGCTGGATGCGGCACCCTGGGGGGAGAAGCGTGGTGGTGAAGGCGCAGTAAGGTAGGTCTGCACCTCAGCTCCCAGGGGCAGGTGTCCTTAGGAAGCACCAGCCTTCTCAGCAGCGGGCTGTCCCATGGCTGGTGGAAAGGGACGGGTGTGCCCCTGGTGCCCGAGGCGTCCACCCCTCCGCACACCTCCCCGGATGTGCCCACCACATGCGATCTGCCCCTGAGCAGCTGCCGCGGGACCTGGCCCGCAGAGCAGGGCGTCCCACACCTCCCACTTGGGGCCCAGAAAACCCAAGCTGGTGGGGCCATTGCTGCTTCGTACCTGTCCTTCACGACCCGCTGGGCGCCCCTCCCCAGGGGTTCCTGTGGACGTTCACCCCGGGGAGAGGGGTGAGGTCCTGGCTCCCTTGGCCGATAAATCAGGCAACTTTTGTCTAGAAAAGGGAGCCAAGTCGTATTGTTTCAGTGAGATTTATTCCAAGTTAGGGGTCAACATGAGCCTCACACTAAGTGAAGTGTCTCTCTCTGGGAAGTGGTAAAGAGCGAAAGATCCCCTCACCTGGCCCGAGGGATAGTCTGCTGATGGCAGAGTGTCCTCAAGCGCCCGTCCTGTGCTGTGAAAATAAGCACATGGTTTTGGTGTCTTGTCCTCAAAATAATGGACTCGTACTCTCCACATCCTTCTACGGCTGCTTTTGTCCATCTCTTGTGCCCCTGCCACGTCCCCATTCTTCTAACAGCGTCGTGACACGTGTCCCACGGGAGGCCACCTCCTGAGCTGATGTCTGCACACATGGGCTGTATCGGTCTCCTGGGACGGCCATAACAAAGTGCCACAATCTGGGTGGCTGAAGACAACAGAACTTACTGTCTCAGCTCTACAGGCCAGAGTGTGAGGTCAAGGCACCAGCTGGGCCGTGCTGCCTCTGAAGCCTCCCTCTCTCCAGCTTCCCATGGCGCCGGCCATCCTTGGCGCCCCGTGGCCACAGGGCTTCAGCCTTGGCTCTGCTGACGCAGGTGTGGTCCTCTGTGTCCCTGTCTTCTTTTTTTTTTTTTTAATAATTAAAAAAAAAAAATTTATTTTGGTCTGCGCTGGGTCTCCATTGCTGCGTGTGGGCTTCTCCAGTTGTGGAGAGTGGGGTATACCCTTTGTTGCGGTGTGTGGGCTTCTCATTGCAGTGGCTTGTCTTGTCGTGGAGCATGGGCTCTAGGCCCATGGGCTTCAGTAGTTGTGGCTCGCAGGCTCTAGAGCGCAGGCTCAGTAGTTGCAGCGCACAGGGTTAGTTGCTCCACGGCATGTGAGAGCCTCCCAGACCAAGGCTGGAACCCGTGTCCCCTGCATTGGCAGGCGGATTCTTAACCACTGCGCCACGCAGGGAAGCCCGACCACTAATCTTTTAACTGTCGCCATGGTTCTGCCTTTCCCAGAATGTCACAGGGTCGGAATCATGCAATGTGCGGCCTTTTTAGGTTGGCTTCTTTCATTAAGTGATTTGCATTTAAGGTTCCTCCATGTCTTTCCACGGCTGATAGCTCATTTCTTTTTAGTGCTGATTAATATTTCATTTTCTGGATGGACCACCATGTACTTACCTACTCACCTACTGAAGGACATCTGGGTTGCTCCCAAGTTTTGTCAGTTACGAACAAAGCTGCTATAAACGTACGTGTGCAGGTTTCTGTGTGGACATAAGTTCTCAGTTCCTTTGGGTTGGGGTGTCATTGCTGGATCATATTATACAAGTATGCTAATTTTGTGAGAAACCACCAAATTGTGTCTTAGAGCGGCTGCAGCAGTCTGCACCCCCCCCAGCAAGGAACGGGGCCCCTGTTGCTCCGCCTCCTCGGGGCCTACGGGGCGCCTCTCCTCCATCCCCGCAGGCACCGCCAGGCGGCAGCCTGCCCGGCAGACCAGGGCTGAGCTTGAGCAGCTTGTTAAGAGGGAGACGCTGGAAAGCTGTGTAAGGAAGAAGGAACTACAGAACTAGCCCAACAGGACTCTTAAAGTGAACTTTTTACCCAAGCATAACATGCATACAGATATGTCCCAAAAGCTAAGTATGCAAGGGGATGAATTTTCACAAGGAGTAACAATGTCTAATTTGTGGCTTAACAAAAGTCCAGGCAAAACTAAAATGTTGTTATAAGCCTTCCCTGGTGGCGCAGTGGTTAAGAATCCACCTGCCAATGCAGGGGACACGGGTTCGAGCCCTGGTCCGGGAAGATCCCACATGCCGCGGAGCAACTAAGCCTGTGTGCCACGACTACTGAGCGTGCGCCCTAGAGCCCGCGAGCCGCAACTACTGAGCCCACGTGCCACAACTACTGAAGCCCGAGTGCCTACAGCCTGTGCTCCACAACAAGAGAAGCCACTGCAATGAAAAGCCCACACACCGCAATGGAGTTTAAAAAAAAAAAAAAAAAAAAGAACCTATTGGTAACAAGATTTCACTTTTTAAAATAGATTTATTTATTTATTTTTTGGCTGCGTTAGGTCTTCGTTGCTGCACGCAGGGTATCTCTAGTTGGGGCAAGCGGGGCTACTCTTCGTTGCAGTGCGCGGGCTTCTCGTTACGGTGGCTTCTCGTTGCGGGGCATGGGCTCTAGGCACGAGGGGTTCAGTAGTTGTGGCACACAGGCTCAGTAGTTGTGTCGCACGGGCTTAGTTGCTCCGTGCCATGTGGGATCTTCCCAGACCAGGGCTCCAACTGGTGTCCCCTCCATTGGCAGGCGGATTCTTAACCACTGTGCCACCAGGGAAGTCCCTCAAGTGAACTCTTCTCAGAGAATTTGTGTTTGATGCTGCCAGCCCCCCACCAGCACTTCCAACCCAAAACCAGAACGTTTAACTAAATTTCCACGGCAAGGTTGGTGGGGGCTGGGGGGGCTCAGTTTGAAAGCTGTGGTCTGAACTCCTCACTCCACAGGGCCCAGGTCCATGGGCCACGGTGGTGCATCCACCCTGGTCTCCCCAACGCTCCACCTCCCCAGTGCAGCCGTTGATGAATGCAAACCACAGGTGAGGGAGAGCGTACTAACCGGCTAAGACTGAGGAAACAAATCGAGTACGTTAAAGCAACTCCCCCCGGGAACTCCCTGGAGGTCCAGTGGTTAGGGCTTTCACTGCCAGGGCCCGGGTTCAATCCCTGGTCAGGGAACTAGGATCCCACAAGCTGCAGGGCGCGGCAAAAACAAACAAAAACTCAATAGGTTAAACATAAAAATGCCCGTGGCTCCCCGTGGCGCCAGAACAAAGCCCACGCCCCCCTCCCATGGCTCTCTTGAGCAGCTCAAACCACGCTGGCCCTCCTGGCCGCCACACGCAGTGGACCAGCTCCTCCCTGGCCCGCCAGACTCCCTTCCTGCTCTCATACTACCTGTCCATGCCCGTGATGCCCATCTCTGCCACCAGACTTCAGCCCTCATGGGCAGGACGATGGCGTGGCCAACTCCCTCTGCCCCTGCCAGAGGAGCCAGAGGTCAGCTGTGGGGTTGAGGGATGCTCAATCCTGGCAGATACACAGGGCACAGGACGATCAAGCTACCTTGCAGCTTGGAAACTGGGAGCCATAATGAGTGGTCCCTGCGCCGGCCAGAAATGCTGGACAGCGAAGCAGGCGGTGCCAGAGCGGAGAGGGGTGGGGAGGGGGTCACACCTTTACTGATAATCCGCTCACCAAATCCGCGTCCTGCGCACCCCCGTCTCCCCTGCACCGTTTGGCCTCATTGGCCTTCCTCCGGGTAAGTTCAGGATCTCCCCAAGGCGCCTTCGCCTGCAGCGTCACATTCACGGTCTCCTTCGACTGGGAGACGGGAAGAGCCCGACCCCGGGGACGGACTTACCAGAGACGGTGGTGTTCTGTGAGGCGGCACGCAAGGAGGACCGCGAAGGGGCCCAGGAATCCAGACGTGGCGGGGTCAGGGACGGGACTCGGGAGCCTGGGCGCGACAGGGTCAAGGACGGGACCCTGGAGCTCGCATGCGATGGGTCCTGGCATGGGACCCGTGATCCCGCCTTCGAAGGGGCCAGCGACGGGACCAATGACGGGACCCAGGGAACAGCGAGCTTCGACAGCAACGATGGGTCCCAAGAGGCCGCGCGCCCCGAGACCTGAGACGGGTTCCGGGAGGCCGAGACTGATGGGGCCCGGGAGGTCGCGCGCGACTGGATCGTGGTGGAGGCGAAGGGCTCAGGGTGCGAGGCCGCCAGCGGCGGTTGCCAAAGCGGCGGGCCCTCGGGGCCTCGGCGCAGCCAGCTGTGCACGCGCGCCAGGTCCCGCATGTCCTCGTGCTCGCGCCGCAGCTGTTCACGCTGCTCCAGCAACTGGCGCCGCGTGTCGTGCAGCACCTGGGCCCGGCGTTGCAGCCGCAGCAGCTCCTGCCGCAGGCGCCCGTTGTCCTCTCTGATGGCCTGTGTGTGCGCGATGAGCGCGCGCGCCGCCTCCCGCTCCGCGCGCCGCGCCAGGGACTGCACGCGCTGGCGCGCCTCGCGCTCGAAGGCTGCTTTGTCCTCCAGGAAACACCGCTTCATGCGGTGGAGCAGCTGCATGTGCTCCACGCGCATATGCAGCAGCTCGCGCTCCAGCGCCCGGATCCGGGCCAGCTGCTCCAGCTGCAGCTCCTGCGGCGGGGCAGCAGGTCAGCTCCGGTCCGCGGCGTGCACCCACCTCGCCCTGCCCGCGCCCGGCCCTCCCGCGGGGGCGCGCACTGGCCTTGTAGGGCTGCAGCTCCTGCACCTGTCGCGCCATCTGCGCCGCGCGCGTCTGCATCTCCAGCAGCTGCGCGCACACCCCCTCCTCACGCCGGCGGTAGAGCGACGCCAGCTCTGCGCGCTGCCAGTGTATCTGCGTCAGGTCCACGCGGTTCTGCTCCTCCAGCCGGACGATAGCGTTGGCGCAGCGCTGCGCGCGCGTGCTCACGTAGCTGGCGTAGAGCCGGCTCTCCTCGCGCAGGCGCTGCGCCTCGCAGTCCAGGAAGGCGTTCTCCTGCAGCACCTGGTCGACGCGCTCCTCGCAGGCGTCCAGCAGCTCCGAGAGCAGTTTGTATTCTCGCTGCAAGTACTGAGCGCTCTCCGACAGCGGCGGCTCGGTGCCCTCTCCCGCCGCGCCAGACCGGCCCCCGGCGCTCGGCCCGCGCTTCCTCTTGGGCACCATGGCTCAAGGCCTCCAGCCCGCTCCTCCAGCTCAGCCCTTCCCCTCGACCAGCCCGAAGATTCTGGCGGGGTTCGATGCGTCTCAGGGTCACGAGGTTGGGAGAGGCGGAATCAGGATTTTGGGGTCAATCAAGGGTCAGGGCATCGTCGCCAACCTTTACTAGGGGGTCCTTCAGGACCTTGGCCGTCCGTCGGGGTTTGTCCACCTTTAGCTGTGTTGGCGGTCAGCCGAACGGTCTCCCTGGAAACAGAACTTAGCCGCTCTCCCCAACTCCAGCCCCGTTGCTTGCGCAACAGCCCGACTCCCCTTCCTCCGTTCCCCCCAACTCCCTCACTCGAAGTCTGTGCGTGACGGCCTGTGCGCGTGCGGCAGAGGTCGGACCCCAGACGGGCAGCACTTAGGTTTTTCCCGGAGGACGATGCTGGGCTGGCTTCCGAATCTAACACACCCAGCAGCAGCCGGAGTAGCCCCCACTCTCCACGTGCCAGAATTGGGCCCTTTGAAGCCTCTCCACCGGTGGGCTTTTCCCCCAGGTGTCACCATATGGGGAGAGGCTTCGCCACGTTCCTGGCCTCCTCCACCGCGCGCGCCCGCGCGCGCACACACACACACACACACACACACACACACCGTGTGAAATTCCCGTATATCTTGTCAGGACAGAGCGCTTCCCCACAGCTTTTCATTGCTCCGGGAACCCTAGTTTTCCTCGAAGCACTTTGTGATTCCTTTTTCTCCTTCGGGAGCCCTCGTAGGAGTTAGGGTTACTGGAAAGGTCGAGCCCATTCGGATGCCATCCCCTAGTCCAGCGAGTTTCTCTCTGGGATTTCCTCTCTGAGGCTTCTAAGCCCGCCCGTGAGGCACCTGTTCAGTTCACCCCAGCGACCTGGGCTTGATCGGCTTCACTTCCCAGCCGGCCAGTTTGGCTGGTCCAGCCTCCCATCCTGTCTGACGCCTTTGACAAGTAACTTAAATCTATACCTATTTCGGTCCTGTCATCATATAGTTGGGTTTCTATCCAGGCCTGTCCACATTTGCCGCAGGATGGACAGATTCAAGAATTGCTGACTTGTAACTTTGTGAGGAGCACGGTTTAGAAAACCACGTGTGTAGGAAGGCTTGTGTTGAAAGGAGGTCTGGCTGGACTTGGTCTAGTTAGCTACACCTGCACCAAAGATGTGGCAGAACCTCTTAAAATTAGGAACACATCTGAGGCATCTTCCTCCTTATAAAAATGTATTTTGTAAATAAAAATAAAATGACACAAACTTCAAGACAATGCAGAATTTCCGTTTTCACATTAAACATTTTTAAAGAAACGCTGAATCATAAACTCCTAAAACAGCCTCTGAGTGTTGGCCTTAAACGATGTAGGCTTCTTACAGAGAACTGGGCAAAGCCCAAGGAGAACCAGGGGAAGAAACAGCCATGATCCCGCAGTCCCATTTGGGACCGTTTGGGAGCGCTCGCTCCTTCTCCTGGCCTGGCATTCCAGACAGGGTCTCTGCCTGCAGGGGCCGCCACCAACGCTCTCCACCTCGCCACCCTCAGGCCCTCCTGGGGCCACTGTCCCTATCTGACAGATTGCGCAACAGACTGCGAGTGGTCGGGGCCTGCTCTCAAGGCCGGGCCGGTCCTCCGCAGTCTCGGACCCTGTTCCTTCCCAGAGCACACCGCACCGTGGGCCGCCCCTGCCCCTCCCGGGCTCCTGCGCCGCACACATCTGTCGCGGGAGTGTCTAGGTCGACCTGGGTCTTTTAATTTCTGTTTCGAAGCAAGGCAACCGATGGGCAGAGGTTTTTAAATTTTAAGTCGTCCGGGCCTCCCGATTCCCCGGCGAGGCGTCCTCGCGTTAAAGCTCATAAACGCCTCCTCCCAGAAGAGGCGTTTCGTTCTCCTCTGTCTCCGGATTCCTCGAGACCGGGTTCTTCCCGGCGCCGCGATTCCCGATTACGCAATCCGGGTGCAATCGAAGGTGGAGTCCTGAGGGAAGCCCCGCCCCGCCCCGCCCCGCCCCCAGCCCCGGTCCTGCCCGGACGACCTCCAAACCACGCCCAACCCGGGCTCGGCTCCCTCCCGGCCCCTCCTCGCACCCCGCCCGG